ATTTATATAACATTGTGGTGAATTTTCGATAATAATTGGGCGTAAGACATTATTACATATTTCCAATTGAAGTTGAGATCCAAATTTTTGATCATAAAATACAGATTTTCCGTATAAAATTTCCCACATAATTATTCCAAATGAATAAATATCAGATGCTGTAGTATATTTTTTTCCACTTAAAATTTCTGGTGCAATATATGACAAAACTCCATAGACTCCTTTAGATTCAGAATTTAATGCTACATTGGAAGATATTGAAAGCCCTAAGTCTGCAATATATGCACTATGTAAATTAGCTTGCAAAATATTACCACTATGTAAATCTCGATGAATTATATTTTTTGAATGAATTGCCTGAAGATCTGAGACAATACAAAGTAATAGCATTAATTTATCTTCCCATTTCATTCGTGCCACATCATGAAGATTTTCTCGCAAAGAACCTTTTGGAGCATATTCCATAACGAGAATGTAATCTTCAGAGATATTATGTTTAGATATTCCAAAACATTTTAAGAATGATGGGTTTTCATGACCAATATCGCAATATGCTTTCAGCTTTAATATTAAGCAAAAGATATTTATAAAATGTGAACAATTAGAATATTAAATTTGTTGAAACAGTTAAAAATTTACCTCTGTTATAAATTCTTTGTAATATTCGTTTGATTTATGTAATAATTTAAATACAACCTCAATTACAGCGTTTCGACTTTGATCAATCCACTTAGCATAGTATACAGTTGCAAATCCACCTTCTCCTGTTTTCCTAACATTTTCAAATTTATTATAGGGAATCCATGATAATTTATATTTATTTTCGTCAATTATTTCTTTTATGTCATCTTCAACGTCAGAATATTCTTGTATATCTTTGTTTTTAACTAAAAATTCAAGTCTTAAATCACAAATATTTTAGTAATTGTAAATTAAATAATAATTAAAATTACCTGATAATTGATCTTTTTCCCTAATTTATTAAAAAGTTTGTAAGCCATTGATTATATAAAATAATTATTTTGTACAATAATATAGCTTATTTACTTTTGAAACCAATAATTGGCCTGTTGCAAATCTACTGTTACGCCAATTCCATTTCGATAACAATTAGCAAAATTATACATTGCGATGGTATTACCCATATCAGCAGATTTTTGATAATGAATGAATGCCTTATATTCATCTTTTTCAACTCCAACTCCGTTTTCATAACAATAACCCAATACTAAATGTTCCATTAGCATAACCCATATCAGCAGATTTTTGATAATAAATGAATGCCTTATATTCATCCTTTTCAACTCCGATTCCATTTTGATAACAATAACCGACATTATAAGTTCCGTCTATATTACTCATATCGGCAGATTTTTGATAACAAATAAATGCCTTATGTTCATTCTTTTCAACTCCAATTCCATTTTGATAACAATAACCAAGTTTGAATGTTCCTTCAGCATCACCTATATCTGCAGATTTTTGATAATAAATGAATGCTTTATGCTCATTCTTTTCAACTCCAATTCCATTTTGATAATATTATCAACTATTCCACCAGCATAACCCATATCTGCAGATTTTCGACAATAAATAAATACTTCAAGTTCATCTTTTTCAACTCCAATTCCATAAAGATAACAACGACCAACATGATATATTCCTCTTGCATTCATATCTGCAGATTTTTGATAATAAATGAATGCCTTATGTTCATCTTTTTCAACTCCAATTATGAATGACGAAAGTACATCCTAACTGTCAAACCTTACCACCACCAATTACATACCTGATTAACATTAACGATCTCCCAATTTATTACACTACAATCCGTATTACATAAATGAGAGCGAAAGTATTAATTTATATGTCATAGAATACATAACACCGATATATACGTATACCGGTAGATATTTAAACGAATAAAGATGATATATATATAATAGATACATTTATTAATATACGATAATACAAATACGTAATACTGTATAAGTTATACATAATATAATTATACTTCATCCTTAGCACTATATTTTATATATGATTTTTAACAGTATATATTTTTATAATATCAAACTAATATTAACTAATAATATTTTTTACGTCATAACCTTTTACATCAGTAAGTAAATATTAGCTTTTATCCTTAACGTTAACGTTAATGCAGGTAAATTGCGATCGTTTGATAATCTTATTAAGTAAGCTGATTACATAATATTTATTGACTTTCCATATTAGTATGTATATTTATAACGAATAAATATAAAATTTAATACTTTATAAGCAATTAAAATATTTAAGTATTTTAAAAGTACCAAATTTAAATGAATTAATATATTTGTAGCCATAGGCTACTGTAACCGTTATATTAAAATTTGAAGATCAGGTGTAACGTGAGAATCAAAATCATTTTTTCTTGAAGTTAGGGTCAGGGTTAGCTCGAGATTAGGGTTAGAGCAGAGCATAGTTCATACTAAAATTTTGCAAGGAATTTTTTTTATTAGAACACGAAGGATAGTTTTATAAGCAAAATTTTGAGTTATTGGCGATTTCTTTAAAAAAACTAGTATTTGTTTTGATTTTACGTTACACCTGATCCTGAAATTTGATTGGCTTTACAGGTTGCGGTTACAATAACCATGGTTACAAATATATTAATCCAATTTAAATACTTATTAAGTAATACTATTTAGTAAACATAAGATTCTAATTGGCAAAGTTTTGTAATGAAAAGTAACAAGTTCACTTTAACAGTTTATTAATTATGTGTGGATGACATCACGTGTATAAATATTATGGTATTTTTTTTATTGATATACTTATTTTTTTTCGTTATTGATATCAAATATGTAATCTGAAATATTTCGCAAAGTTAAAGCATTATTGATAAAAGAATTTAATAAACAACTCATATATATAGCTTGTGGGTTAATTTCTTTTATGGGTGAAAAGTTAATAGATTCAGGAAAAGAAATTTTTTTATCCATTAACTTTTGATTAATAAAATTTAGTTCATTCTTGATTTCAAATGCTGTTGGACGTTTCAAAGGATCATTATTCCAACATTTTTCCATCAATTCAACGAATTCTTTTGGAGTACTATCGGTAAACTTGGGACGAAGACCATGCATAATATCTAAAATAAGTGTTACATCGTGTTCTCTATCATAAAAAGGTTTATATCCATTAAACATTTCCCAGATGATCATTCCCAAACTATAAATATCAGACTTTTTAGTGTAATGTCCACGTTCCAACACCTCTGGAGCAATATATGGAATTATTCCGTAGATCTCACTATGACTATTTAACGTGTCAGCTAGCTTGCTTACACCAAAATCACTAATTTTAGCACATGGTGAATAGGTTTCATCGTTAAGAGCATCACTATTAATAAGTATGTTTCCACTATGAAAATCACAGTGAATGATATTTTTCTCATGAAGATTCATTAGATTCCAAACTATAAAATTTAGTATATTTAATTTTTCTTGCCATGATAATGTGTTGATATTGTTTAAGAGGAAATGATGCAAATCCCCATATAATGCGAATTTCATGACAATTATATATTTTTTGGTTTTTGAATGTTGAGTGATGCCATAAATCTTTTGGAAATGTAAATCGGAAAAGCTTTTTCTACATTGAATATACGTATTTAACTAAAAAAAAAACATTGTAATTTAGATATTGTATTTATATTTAATACATATTTATATTTTAAAAGAGAATTACTAACCTCATTTAGAAAAATAGAATTCATATTTGTAGAATCTTCAATATCTTTAAGAACAACTTCGATATCATTTTCGCGTTTATGTTTCCAGGTTGCTTTATAAATTCTGCTAAACCCTCCGTTATTGATGCAAATGATATTGGTAAATTGATCATATGGAATATATTCCAATCTGAAGGTTGAATTTTCATTATCTTGAGATTGTGTTCTTGTGATAAAATCGTCAACTAATTTATTACCACTCGAGATTTGATGATTGTATTGATGTATATTTATCATGGTGATTTTTAAATTTGTAATTGTCTTTTTTAACCAAAGGATGGAAGTTATTTTTATGTGTATAAAATCGTATTTTGTATACGACCATTGAAATACAATTGACTTAAGTAAAACATAGACAGTGCTTTGAAAATTTCGCAATGAATCAAATTTAGAGTGATGTTATGTAATTAATATGTTGAGGTACCTGTGTAGTAAGAAATCAGGTTATCATGTAATTTACAAATCAAGATTCTCAGGCGTCTTAGTAAATACAAACCAAGATTCTCAGACGCCTTAGTAAATAATGCAGTAATATGTCGATGTATTAGTGCATGTGCATTAATGTGTCGATGGATTAGTGCATGTGCATTGTATAACAATAATAAATGGGAAAACGATAGGTAAGAAATGTGCATTATAGAATTTATATTTATGAATTTCGTGTGATTCTCTCTTTTCTATCAAATACACACATGACGCGCTAAACAAGTACTTTAACAACAGTTAAAAATTGAATCCACATCACATCTATAATTTATGTTGTGTTTCTGAACTATATACTGTTTTTATATATATCTTAGACCCTCTTTCGAATTTTTTTTTTTTTTAAAAAAAAAAACTTTATTATATTAGTGTGCTTCTTTTATCCCATATTTTTTTTCTCTCGTAAAAACTTATCTCGAGAAATAAAATAAAAAAAAATCAGTACTCTTTTTTTCTTTTTTCTAAAATAAATATTATTTCCATTTCGCACTGTCAAGAGTAGGGTTGGTGGAGCAAGTGGTGCACCACTGCTGCGCCATTTAGTTATCGTATAAATTTAAAGCATTGCGCCAGTGGCGACACCACCTGCACCAACAACCCTAGTCAAGAGATTTCTCGACCATTCAGCACGATATTTGATTTACCATAAACAAAAATTACATCACAAATTTCCACTCTTAAACAATAGTGATTACAAACCGAATTCTTAATGCTTTTAGTGAGGTCAAAAGAAAAAAAAATGTCTAATAGAACCGTCTTAGGTAAAATTTTTGCATCGCTCTGTCATCTATTATTTTCGCGTTGGTCTTCTGCTAAAGAATATAAAATAAAAATCACGTTATTGCTATTTTTAACTTATTGATGCATTAATTAAATCAGAAATAAATTAATTTTTTCTTCTATAAACACTAGATCATATCAATGGCGATGGTGACGGTATTACTTATAGCCTTACGCCCGCTTCTGATCAAATACTTTTAACTGCGGAAAGCTCTAATAAGCTTTGTTTAGGTAAATAAATTATTTTTGATTATTTTTATTTTATTTAAAGCAAGTTTTTTTTGTTAAAGAAATCATAATATATTAATTACAAAAAAAAAATAACAAGTTGATTTTTATTCTGTTGACATTAGGCAACTTTGTTGATGATGGCACTCAATGGTCCTTTCCATCCGCAAACTATAATAGTAATGATTTTGGACCAGGTAAATTTCAAATTTTTATATAGTAATAGTCTATATCAAGATCACGGGGTAATGATACTAGAGATGTGCCGTTTAGGCCGTTTAAAGTTGATAATTTGGTTAATGTCATCCCCCCTCGGTAGACTGTCCCCCAAAAATTAAACAAGCCAATCATAAGGCAGGATAAAAGAAAGCTAATCATAAGGCAGGATAAAAGACCCAAAATTTTTTAGGTCGTGTTTATTCTATTATGTTTGTTTAAATTATCCCCCGTCTAAAAAAATAAAAAGTTGACATTAACCAACTAATTAACTTTAAAAGGCCTTATAGTAAATACAAAATTTTTCCGCGTACAGTACGCACGTACTGTACAGTACGTATAGTACTGTATGTGGCACATCTCTAAATAATAACCTTATCGGTATGTGAATAAGAGGAAGTTTCACTTCCGCTAATTCTCAACAGATTAGGATATTTTTATTACTAATTAAGCCACTTTATCTTTGAGCGAGCTCTTTGCTGAAAAATATAATATTAATTAGAAACAATGATGATAAATTAATTTTATCCTCTTAATATTTGATTACTACAATTTTATTGTGACCTTGGTCTATTAAACTGCAATAATTTTAAATTAGGTAATTTCATGTGATTTTTATTAAAAAATTTTTACATAATAATAATAATAATAAATTAATTTTTTTTCTTAATATTAGATAATAACTCTTCATCAAATTTATCACCAGTTGTTTATGATCCTATTCATTCCCAACCATCTTCATCTATAGTAAGCTACAATTATTTTAGATCAGGTAAAAAAAATTATTTTTAAGCAAAGTCTTTTGCCAAAATATGTAATGATAAATTTATTTTTTATTGTGCAAGTTTTATAACCTTATAATTTTGCATAAATATTAAGATTTATTATTCATAATAACTTAATTTAAAAAATATATATATTAATTACAAGTACAGACAATAGTAATAACTTAATTTTGTTTTTTTAATATTAGAAAATAATTCTTTGCAAAATTTATTGCCAGCTATTAATAGCAACATTCTTGGCCAACAAACACCAACCCCCTTTTGCAATGTAATTGCTTCTGAAAAAATAAATATCAATGTGCTTTTTGTTTATGTAAATACAGATCACCAAGTGAATTAAAAAAACACCAAGACAAACAGCATAATTTTTTCTTAAACTTTTAAGATTTATTTTTAAGATTTATGATATTATATTATATATATATATATATTTTTATTTAATATTTGTTTAAGAGTAGAGTATATAGATATTTAACAAACCTATTTTTGCTACTGTCAATTCATCAATAATAAAACTTGTAGTTTTATCAATTTATCAATTATATGTTTTTAGAAAAATTTTATTATACTGTATAACTGTTTTTAAATTTTTAAATAAAGTTGTAAAGTAGATTTTTCTAATCTTAAAATTCTAATAATGGTAAAACTATTAAATTTGAATTAAAATTTATTAAGTTATAATTATTTAAATATTAGGTATTATAATATATATAAATTATTATAAAAATTATATAAAATCAATTTATTATATTAAAATTGTTAGATTCATATTAGATTACCCCCATATCAAATTCATAGTAATTTTTTTTTAAATACGTAATACAATTAATACAATATTGTGCTACAACTATTTTAAGTAATTTAAGAGTTATTAATTAAACCAAGCGCCAATCAAATATGTATTACAAAATTTTTGTTATATTTTTCTTAGAATTGTATCTCCTTGGCAAATATTCAAAATTTAGAAAAAGCAAATATATTAGTTAATGTTTTATAATTAGTATCTCAAATACTCATGCCAAAATTTTAATATTTAAGTTATTAAGTGAGTTATTTGCAAAATAGTCTTTTTAGAATATCAAAATATTATAAAAAAATTTAAACTTTAAATACAAAAGAAAAAATCTTCACAAAAAATTAAAATGTACACTTTTTTAACCTATTCTATATTGTCTTTAAAGTTCGAATAATTAATACTGTGAGAGGAGTTAGATTTTAAAGATTTATTACTTTCATATAATAAATTACTTTTTTTTTTTTTTTTGGTATTAAGGTGACCTCTTTGGTCTGGGGAACTTTTTATTAGAATATAGACGAAGTTTTATATATAATTACAATGATGGTATATCAAGCCACACGTGCACCTTTTAA